CTAGAATTCAATCAACTCATGAAAGGCTTTATCAATTTGACAAAATTCTGTACCACAGAAGATAATCATTCTCCATCTTCAAATCCTCATCTTGATCAACTTGCAAAAGCTTGCACAGAGTATCTATCCTTCTTTCATATCAGTTTGTAATACGCTGAGTGTGTTACTCTGTTTCTGTCTATTTTGCGCCCAACAATGATCATCATCCTGATAATATTCAATTTGCAAACAGGTCAAGGATATTCTATGTTACGCGCTCACAGAATCATAATATGTTAGTCTTGATCGATTTATCCAGCTCTGAATTTGAGTTTGAATTTGACTTTCTTTTCTTTCATAGGCATATAGATTATTCCATACATCTTCATGCTTTATGTTCATCAGCAGAATTTCATTATCAGGATTGCACTTATCCTGCTGCTTATAATGATGATGAGTTTCCAATATCTGTTTTTTGTTTTCAATGTCTGACTTCAGCCAATATTTTCTATAGGCACTAGATGAATCTACAAGACCCAGAAGGCTATCATCAGACCAAACAATTTTGGGCAGTTAAACTTTGTTTGTAATCCCAAGCATTGTCAATCTGATACTCAGAAATTATTACTTGTCAAGTTTGAGACTTTGACTATATTGTCACCTCTCAGATCTACATTCACAGGAAAAAGAACAAGCTCACCCCTTCATTACAGGTCCAAACCAGGCTCAAAGCTCATTACAGTCGCTCAAAAAACCGTCATTCAAATCAACAACATGAGTTCAGGATCCTGATGAAGAGCTATGCCATCACAATCACTATGTATCATCTTATGATCAATGACTTTGTCAGATCAAACAGGCCTAAAGATCCAGATATCAAAGTCTGTTTCAGAAGTGCTGATCAAATTCAATCAAGAAGTTTGTTTACAAATCTTGAATAAATTTAATGATATATTTCATACTACATCTTCACTTGAAGCCAGATTAGAAATCTGTACTGGATCACACCATTCGAATGATTTGATTGCAAGTTGTATTCAAGTGGATTCATTCAACTGATCTCTGTGTACACCAACAGACCAACACAGCAATTGGTTCATTTCCAGTGGAGACATATACCTCCTTATAATTTCAATGTTGAAAGATGTCAAGCAGTTATGTTTTTCAACTCAATTGGGTATTCTTTGATATTTGGCAGTTCATTTATGATTTTGCATATACATCTCATCAGTCTTTTTCATACCTGCTCCTCAGGCTCTTTGGGTTTGTGATGATCTGTGAAGTATTTAGATTTCTTTGTCATGTTTTGATTGCCACTTCAATCCTGAAGCCAATAATACCCTTCTGTCAGAGAAGATCAAGGAACACTTGTGCAGTCATCCTTCTCAATCATTATTACAAAGCAACAAGGAGTGGATCAGGCTCTTTGATGAGATTTAGGACATCCAAGTCAATCACATTCCGAAATTGTGTGATACTTTGACATGCAATGCTGCTAAAGACATAGCGGTTGAAGAAGGAAGGTACTTTCATTCAATTGAAATCATTGGCTTAAGCAAAATATTACCCAAGAGGAAACAAAAATATTTGTATGTCATGAGCTGATCTTAGGGTATGTTGAGAAGCTTAATTCTCCACTTGGATTGATCATGTCAAGAATCACCTGGAAACCTTTCATTACAATCAGATACTTTCAGTAGACCCAGTGTTGATGCCCTGTTCATGGTCAGATGTAAATACTGTGAGATTTTGTTTAATGGGATTCCTGATTTATTGGCATGTGCAGGTTTCCTTCCATCTGTTATGAGCCCATACGTAGAATATGCTTGTATGCTTATAGTGAGATCTTGCTCTACTAGAGAGTCTCGAGTCAGAGATTTTATATCCTCACGTTGCAATCTTATCATACGTTCAAGAACACCCTTTTGTAGACCCTTGATCCCCAACTCACGAGGTCCTAATATATTGCAACGTCAATCAAGATCAACAGTCTACAACAAACATCAAGTATCAAGAAGTAAGAAGAAAATCAATTGAGAAGTTAAGAAGAAAAGAAAGTTTAAAGTTAATTAGAGTTTAAGATCTGTACAAGAATCAAAGTTTAAAAGAAGATTAACTCCGCAATCCGAGCAAGATCTTAGAATTATTCAAGTCACTTCAAGTTGTTCAGTATCCGCAAGTAAAGTTATTCCACCACCCGATCTCATTCACAACGCCCAATTTCAACGTACCTAGTTCTTCGACGTCAGAGTCGAGTAATTGCTCAATTAAATCCAACGAGGTCTTCCACGAACTCGAAGAGAACGTGATGGAACCACAAGCAGACCCCACTTTAGCCAAAGTCTTAAGGCAATTGAATCAACTGTCGTGTCAGTTTGCTGAAGTCAAAGCCAGCCTAGCTGATGAAACTCAGAAACGCCAAGAAGCTGAAATAAGACTTCAACAGTTTGAAACGAACAACATGCAAGCCTCTCCTAGCAATGATCAACCTGCGGCTCCACCGACTACTCATCCTGTACAACCGGTGTATGTTAATCAGACAGTACAAGCCCAGCGTCAACCAAAGATGTCGACTCCCGATAAATTTGATGGGAGCAAAGGATCGAAAGCTGAAGTATTTGTGAATCAGCTTGGACTATATATGCAACTGAACAACCACCTATTTGCCAATGATCAGGCTAAGGTTGCATTTGCGCTGTCGTACACATCTGGAAAAGCCAGCATCTGGGGCCAAAACTTGACTGATCAACTCTTAGATCCTGAACTATCGAACTCAGTGACTTGGACAAAGTTTATCACGTCTTTTAAAGCCACCTTCTTTGATTCCGAACGAGTTTCCAAAGCTGAAAAGGAAATAAGAGATTTGAAACAAAAAGGATCAGTAGCAGACTTGTTATGGACAGACTTGGGGGTTTTCGGCGACGAGGGTCAAGGGAGTTCTGGTGAGGATTTGTATCTATTACCAGTCTTCCTATGTGGATTGTCGGATGAGGGAAAATCTGTACAGGCAATGTATCTACAACTATAAGATGGTTCTCGAGCTTGTGACATGTAATGTGAATATGTCACTCAAGTGAAATAGAACCAGTTCATAACATTATCCCCCCTTTAATGCCCAAGCTTCCTCTTGCAAGCTCTGCATTCTTTCCACGGGCTGCGTTAAAAAACCCAGTGGGAAAAAGCATAGCCCTCTCACTTCTTCCGCCTTCTCCTTTTGTACTTATTTGTTGCGTCGGGATATTTTAAATTAAACTCATTAACTAAATCTTGACTATTCTTGAGGTTGATTTCGGGTTCCCATGAATTGTTTTCCTTGCCAAATCCTTTCCAACTCACAAAGTATTCCTTCTTGTTGTACCTTCTTCTACAATCTAGTATCTCGTTGACTTCCCATTCTTCTTCATCCTGTATTATGATTGGTTCGACTGGGGGTTGTTTTCGTTGATGTATTGTATCCGGGTTATGTTTCCTGAGTACAGAGACATGAAATACAGGATGGACGCTTTTCATGGAAAGAGGGAGATTCAATTTATAAGTAGAATTTGATATCTTTTGGATAATGAAGAAAGGACCTAGCCATCTATTTTCTAATTTTGGGCTTGGCCTAGTTGTCGAAATGTTTCGTCCGTTCAACCAGACTTGGTCTCCTACTTCCCATCTTGGTGTTTGTTGTACTCTTTTGTCAAATTGTTCTTTCATCTTCTCTTGGAGTAATTCTACACATTGATTAATTCAAGTCACGTGGACCAGGTAGCTTCGAGGCGAGCGCGCAGTACGCTCTT